CCCGGAAATGCCAAGACATATCACTAAAACTTCTAGAAGAAAATTTTTGCTAAAGTGTTACCCTTCATGCACTTTAAAAAGCTTTATTATTTCAAATATTTTAAATTAGTACTTAGGCTTGTATGGCAATTATCCAAACCTGCCAAGCTATTTCATAGAAACTTTCGAGACATACCTGAACTGTAATTGAACACATGACTATCATTAGTTTTTTAAATATTTAAAGTAATCTTCTTGAGTGGCATAGCAACTGACCGAATCCATGGTTCGAATCTTTTCCCTAAAATTAGGAACAATCCCTGGCAAAAAAAAGAAAACAATTTTTTAAAGTTTGGTGGTGTTTTCTCTTTCATGAATAATTATTCAAAGCAACAAAGGCACTTATCAAAATCAACGCAGAATCTTCCGCTTAGCGGGAATATATGTTTAAACGTCTATACAGCAGAAAACTCTTTCAAGTGATTACGAACTTCGTACCGAATTATTGGTGTAGTAAAAACCATTGTTCAAATTCTTTCAATCTAATTAGGTTAAATGTTCATATTTAACGTATGTTTTATATTTATTTTCCTATTTTCGCAGTATAATCATTTTTTTTAATAAAAGTATATGACAAATAATAGGACATAGAGAAGAAATTTTTTTGTTTAAGTTTGTGCTATTTTGATTCATATCCATAAATTTTTGATCCAAGTCACAACTCTTAAAACAGCAATAAAACATAAATTTAAGAATTGCCATCGTTTAGTTTTGAAATAAAGTGTTGTTAAACTTCAAACGCGATTTTCTCGATTCAAAAGTCATGGCGCATGGATCAAAATAGCACTCAGCCGACGAATTGCCATTTTGTCTAATATGTGACATTTCGTAGATAAAAAGGAATGTGTATGTAGGTGTTTAATATAAATTTTTTTATATGTAACAACGTCGCTAAACAAGGGATACCTGTACACGTGAAAATATCAATTTTACGCGTGATAAATCGCATCTTAATTCAAAATGGCGTATGCAAACACTGCGAAGTAATTGACGTTGGAATGACGTTGAGCAAAGCTCAAATAGAAGGAGTACATAAAGAAACCGATATCTTGACTCGAGGAGAAATGCAAGAAGTTTAAATGGCTTTTTTAAATGGCGTTCTTTGTTGTCATTATATAACAAAGTTTTGGTATATAATCAAATATTTAAGCCTGTCTGGGCTTACGGTATTCAATTATGGGGCTGCGCTGCGCAGACTCATATTCAGTCTATTCAAAGATTTCAAAATAAGGTATTCTGAGACATTGTAAACGTCCTTGGTATATCCAAAATGCCGATATACACAGGGATCTCAGGATCCTAATTGTCGCAGACGAAAATAAAAAGTAAGCAGCCAATCATAAAATGCGTTTATCAAATTATGTCCACAGCGAGGCGGCTCGATTGGTTGACATTCAAAAGTTTGTTAGGAGACTTAAACGTACGAGACCTCTCGAGTTAGCTCAAGGTTTTTTATTTGGAACAATAAGTACTTAGTACGATATTGTGGCAGATCAAAGACTGGCAAATAATCAAAAAAGTGGGACCACAATTAATGGTTTGTCGTTTCCGACTGCTTTTATAAATTTATTTTGAGGAGGGTGTTTTTTAGTGGATCAAAGTTCCACACTACTGCTTTTCGTCTGCCAGTGTCTTTCGAGATGTTTCTTTCTTCCTCCCAGAAAAAAAAACAAAAAAACAACTTTATATTACAAGAAACACAAACCAAGAAATAAATAATACTTTATATTATTAGAAACACAAACCAAGAACGAGAAATAAATAATATTCGAAAATATAAAGATCTCACACATTTTTGGTTCGAAAAACCGAAATAAGCTTAAATAAATGTCAGCTTTTATCAAAGACATCAGATGTTTAGTGGCATCTGAATATTAATGCTTCATTTGTTATTGTTTTAAATATTATGTTTCGTCAGCAGGTTTTAAAAAAATATAGATACACAATTTACATACGTATGTGCTTAAAATTTCAATTTTATTATTTGAGCGAAAAACTATAAAATGCTTAATTCTAATACATTCATATGTACATACATATATTTGAATAAAATTATTATTTTGTTTTTACCTAAACCTTTTCTTTATTTGAAAAATTTATTTCTATATAAAAAAAAGGTTTAGGCAAAAACAAAATAATTAAATTTTATACAGAAATTTTTTTTGTTTTTTACTGTATGACCCATTATAACGCCAATTTTAAACTCTACAATTTGAACATTTCGATTTATATATAGTGAACCATTTTAACATACTTATTAATATTTGAATAAAAATAATTTCATATGGTTAAGTAATAATCAACAAAAAATAAAAAAAACCTAAAACGCACAAAAATTAATAACATTATTTACGAGTGCAGTAGTTTGATTAAATTACAATATACAAAAAATTCTTTCTTTTTTTTTGTAATATTTTTTTTTACGTTTTGTCTATGGCCGACTTAAAGTGCTTATTTTTCATTTTTTGAACTTTTTTGTTTAAGTACATTAACTTTTATTTTTGTTATAGGTCATACAGATTAATCAAGAATTTAAATATACATATTATATTATATAGATCTTTCATAATCTAATTAAAAGTTTTAATATCATATTGACTTTTGTATTAGGTTTGGTTTTAATAATTTTTTACTTTGAATATATTTTTCAAATGCGACTTTCCTTCTTTTCTTCTTTGAGGTTATTGTCAAGGCAAGTAAATCCATCGATGCCAATTGTGAGATTTTCTCTCATTTTTGCAATTAATTGGTGACAATGAGGTAAGAAGTTCCGAATTGTGTATGGCCTACATGAGGGAAATTAAAATAGAAAACCTTCAAACTGTACAAGAGGAGATAAATGCTTGTAAGGCGTTGATTAAAGGTAAATTTGACTCTGCACTAGATGGGTCAAGTAGCTTTCGCAACAACAATAACTTTGTCCAATTAACTGGCTTCTCTTCTGGACTGTGATATGTTCTAACGGAAACTTGGTTGTCCCCTTCCATGAATTATCTTGAATTATTCGACTCTTCTTTTTCTGTTTATATAAAGGACCGACATGCACTGTTCTGTATATATGTTATGTTCTGTATATAAAGGACCGATATGCACTTCTCTTGCAGGGACACACACCACAAATTAATCGCTGTTAAAAACTCGTTATCAGCTAGTATTATTGAAATTCAAAACTCCGATGATCTTGAAATCATCACATTTAAAATTGAGCTGAATTCCAAAACGCTTTTCTTAGTCAGTTGCTATTTACCGCCTAAGTCAAATAATGAGTTATATGCAAAATTTTCTTCGACAATTGATTATGTATGCCATTTTCATAACCCGGAGGATGAGGTTTTTGTTTTCGGAGATTTTAATCTCCCCAAAATTAGGTGGATGACTCATGATGAGGAACCATTTTTGATATCAATTGACCGTTCTAGTGAGTTGGAGTTGTCCTTTGTATATACCTTTCATCTAAATAATTTGCAACAAATATCGTCAATAACAAACCATCAATTGAAGCAACTGCATCTAGTCTTTACTTCCAATTGGTACAACTGTTTACCTTTAACTGTCCCGGATCCGTTAGTTAACGACTTCTCTTCAGTATTTAACTTTACGACTTCACTTCAGTATTTAACTTTACTGATATTGAGTCTATGACGGGTAAGTTTTACGAAATCATTTTTGCTGCATTTGAATTGTTTATTCCAGTGTTGAAAACAAAAGATACTGGCTCTGGCCCTCCATGGTTTTCACAAGAGTTAAGGGTATTTCGCAACAAAAAGAATAAGCTGTGGCGCAATTATTTCTCCACTAAAGGCGACAGGGACTATGATAATTTCCGATTGTCGTAAATTATCTTTTCCGTCTCTTTTTCATCTTTTCAATGAAATAATGACGACTTTCGGCACATTGATAACTGTCCTAAAACTACCTAAGGTTTTTGAGTTGATGGTATGTGACAATATTTATTTCCATTGTATGCCATTAATTAGGGGGTGTCAGCATGGCTTCTTGAAAAAGAAATCCACGGTGACTAATCTAGTGGAAGTCATGACAGTTTTCTCAAATAATATGGAAAATGGGTATCAGACGGACGTAATTTACACAAACTTTAGCAAAGCCTTTGACGTACTACCACATGAAATTATTATTTTACAATTGAAACTCTTAGGATTCCCTGACAACTTCTTAGCCTGGATAAAGTCATATCTCTCTGGCAGTACTTACAGAGTCCTCTTTCGTTCAGCAATTTCCTCGCCTCTTTCGTCTAATTCTGGTGTACCCCAGGGTAGTCACTTAGGTCCACTGCTGTTAATAATTTCAATTAATGATGTTATGAAAAGTTTAAAAAAAATAAGCTCTACAACTGATGCGATGTGTCTTCAGAATGATCTTAACCGCTTCTACGGCTGGTGCTGAAGTAATAACCTAAAAATCAATGTCAGTAAATGTGCACAAATGTGCTACTCTAGGCAAAAGGGGCTATTGTTTACAAACTATACTTTTAATAGCCAAGCTCTTAGTCGAGTTGATTCAATAATGGACCTGGGTGTTTGCTTTAATAGCAAGTTATCATTCACAAACCACTACAATCATATTATATGCAGATCAAGCTCGATGTTAGGTTTCGTTAAAAGCTGGTCAAAGGAGTTTAATGATCCTTATGTCTTAAAGTGTCTCATGCCTGATCCATCCTCATCTTGAATATGCTTCACAAGTATGGTCACCTTATTACGATATACATATTAATAATATCGAGTCTATTCAAAAAATTTTTTTGAGGTTCGCACTGCGCCTTCTTTCTTGGGAAGACCCCATCATTCTTCCCCTTATGAGCACAGACTGAAATTAATTGACCTACCCACACTGGGTAAAAGATTTGACGTCGCAGATTTGTTATTCATTTTCCAGCTTACGAAAACTGACTTAATATATCCCGACATTTTAAATAAAATTGTGATTAATTCTAACCTTAGGTCTCGATCCAGTTGGAATGGGAAATATGAACCTGTCAGCAGAACGCTGCGTTTATGCAACAAACACAAACACAGACTTGACTTTTCACTGAAGAAAGACGCGATGAAAAAGCTTCTATTTATAAGTATTCTATTTTAAGTATAACCCTTTTCTTTATTTTAAAAAATTCTTGTTTTAGCTTTTCATTGTTTATATTCATATTTAATGGAGTATTATTACTAATAAGTTTCATTTTGTATAATTTTTAAATTTAATTTTTAAGTCAAAAATTTGTTCTGTCTAAAAAATATGTATCTGTATATGCATTCTTTAATTTTAAGTTATGTGAAATGTTTGAGCTAAACATAAATAAATAAATAAATAATGATAATAATGATAATAATAATAATAATAGTATTAATGACAATACTAGCAGTGATAACAACAATAATAACATTAATATAACATTAAAATAACAATAATAACGGTCGTACCGGTCGTGGCAACAGTAAGAAATGGCGAGTATCCTAACTTTGTTCGTGGCGCTACTGTTGCAGGCATAAATACAGTTTACTCATCTGCTGAAACCTCTTCTCAAATGCCTTTCAACCCACTTGTACGAAAAAGTCCTATGCAACCGGCGATAATGTTTATGTGCTATCGCGCTTTCTTAATTATAATGTAAAACTTTTCCTTGCCTATTTGCACAATACGGCTGACCATGTTCACCACGATTGCAAGACCAGACTTAACCTAAAATTTTTTATAGAGGGTGCAGGTCTTCCTGCGGATTACTCACAGCTGATGGATATTTCTAAAAAATTTCATGAGACGATGAATATATCGTCCAAGGAGGTTGATAGGGATCTTGAGACTTTTCGTGACCACATGAGGAGTAGGCGTGTTGGCTACCTACTGCGGATAAGGGAATTCAACTACAGGTTTTTTCGTCCCTCAACTCCCTCAAAATCTTGCTCAAAATGTTAGTAAACATGTAAAATCTTTTCGAAATAATTTGATTTCGGTTCACCAACCGGATCTTGGTAGCATTCCAATATCTTTAGATAATATTTCAATTTATTATGAAAATTTTCGAGGCCTTAGGATTAAAACTGGGGCTGTTTTACTGAATTCTTCCATAATGGAATGCGAGGTTTTTGCTCTGACGGAAACTTGGTTGACTCTTTCTGTTAATAACTTAGAACTTTTTGGGCCAGCTTTTTCAGTATTTAGAATCGATCGTTTGAGGAATGCTTCTCTAGAACATGGTTCTAAGGGAGGTGGGGTACTTGTTGCAGTTAAAAACTCATTTTCCGCTACTATTTTCGATTTTTTGGAGGAGATTGCGGCTAAAATTGAAATAACTTCTAAGCTTCCCAAAATAACGTGAACGACACATGATAAGGAACCATTTTTGGTTCCAACAGATTTTGGTGGCGAGCTGGAGTTATCTTTTGTGGATCCCTTTCACTTGAATAACTTACAGCGAATTTCGTCAGTTTTGAACCATCAATCGAAACAATTTGATTTGGTTTTTATTTCTGCCAAATCTATTGGTTAAAGTTGACTCCTTTCATCTCCAATATCTTTTTCATATTGTATTAACGGTCAACAATGTATGGTCGAGTCCCCTTCCTACCGTTTTGATTTTAAAAGGGGTATTTTCACAATGCTAAATGATTTCTTTTTTGCTTAGTATTTTTCTTCAGTTTGCATAGTTCAAATGCAGCAAATAAGTTTTATGAAACCTTATTTGCTGCATTTGAATTATTTATTCCAACTATGAGGAATAAGGAATTCCAACTATATAATACAGCACGGTTTTCGGAAAAAGAAATCAACGGTGACTAATCTGGTGGGAGCGTTCTGTTTTTGTAAATAAAATGGAAGATGGGTGTCAAACGGATGTAATTTACACTGATTTTAGCAAAGCCTTTGACGTTTTACCACACGACGTAATTCTTTTGAAATTGAATTTGTATGGTTTTCCCAACAATTTTCTAAATTGGGTTGAATCTTATCTTTCTGGAACGAAATAGAGGGTCCTTTTTCGTTCATCGGTGTCGCCCCAGTTGTGGGTAGTTCTGAAGTTCCCCAAGGCAGTCACCTGGGTGCATTGCTCTTCATCATCGCTGTTAATGACGTAGCGTTCGTTTTGGATTGCAGTGGAGTGATATTTTATGCTGATGATATGAAAATTTTAAAGAGGATTCAATCTGTAAATGACGGAGTTTCTTTACAGCGTAATATGGATAACTTTTACAGGTGGTGTACTAGTAACAACTTGAAGAGACATCCAATAATATTAAATTATACTTTAAATGGTTAAATTATTAGTAAGGTTGATTCAATTATGGACTTAGGGGTTTGCTTTGATAATAAGCTTTCATTCGCCAATCACTACAGCTATGTGGTTGGCAAGGCAAGCTCTATGTTGGGATTTATTAAACGCCGGTCAAGGGAGTTTAATGACCCCTATATTTTGAAGTCCTTATATTAGTCTCCGGCTCGTCCCCTTGAATATGCCTCACAAGTTTGGTCACTTTTTTACTATATTCATATTAATAGGATTGAGTCGGTTCAGAAGAATATTTTGCGATTTGCGCTTCGTCACCTTCCTTGGGTGGATCCTATTTTATAAGGACAGGCTCAAATTGTTTGATTTACCCACTTTAAGTAAAAGACGTGATGTCGTGGACGTGATATTCATTTTTCAACTTATGAAATCTGATTTGATCTCTCCCAATATTTTTAATAAGATCGTAATCAATTCTAATATTAGGTCTCGTTCTACTGATTTTTTTATAGTTCCGTTTTATAGAACTAATTATGGAAAAAACGAACATGTCCGTAGAATGTTGAACCTGTGTAACAATTTCAAGAACATACTTCATTTCAATTTAACCAAGGACAATATAAAAAAACACTTATTTGCTTATTGATAACTCATCCTTTTTCTATACGATTCTAACTTAATTAATAATAATACATGATTACAAAAAATTATACAAAAAGCATTTTTCTTAATTTAGAACGCATTACAAAATTATTGTTAAATTTGCTTATCTTTAAAATACTTATAGTAATTTTAGTAACACTTATAGTAATTTTAAAACATTTAAAATACTCAATATGCAAACCAAATGTTAGTCGTTACTCATTGTGTTATATAAGGTTTAAACGCAATGTAAAAAAAAACAATAATAAAAATTAAATGAAACATAAACGATTTTAAGTTGATCGATCCTTTACATTAATGTTTTTAGGTAATAAATTTTGTTTGGAAATATGATATCGTAAAAAAAATTATTGAAAGAAAGAAAAAAAAAATAAAAAAGAAAGAAAGCGACGATTGACCTTATTACTTAATTTGTGGTGGATAATCTAAAAGAACGATATTTGTATTATTAGAATTATTAGGAGTTTCAGTACTATGAGAGGATGGAGATGTAAGTCCTCCCGCCTTAAGATTCGTTATTTAAGAATTTTATTTTAACGTTTATTTAAGAATTTTCTGTACGGGGTTTTTTGCATAGAATTATTACTATTATGAAAAATGCTATAAAAACAAGAACCAGTTGTGGCATTCGAGGCAAGGTTTGTATACCACCTCCAAGTATTATCTGTTTTTATTTCCTGGATATATTTAGTATTATTAACGTGATTATAATACAAATTTTCTAGATGGATTTCATTGACAATTTTTTCTATAGTAATACTTCGATCTACATAAGGCAAGATTTTACTGTAATACTCTTTTTCGATATTTTCAAAGCGAATAGAGATAATTGAAATTTTACAATTTGTAAATTTAATAATATTATTGCCTTTAATAGGAATGTTTTGTAGATTTTTTCCACAATTGTTTAATAATAGTGTTTCATTCAAATTTTTTTTAACTAGAACTGTATCTGATATCATTTTAATTTCTGGTGAAGTATTTTTCTGATAAAGACATTGCATTTGCTTTGTATTACGTAAATTTGATTTACACTTATCTTGAAATGATCATAAATCTTTTTTCATTATATCCTTTTTATTTACATTTTTAAAAATATTTTGTTTACATGTTCATTAATATTAATATTGAGCTCTTAAAAGTTATTTTCATTAGAAATTTTTTCTACAATTGTTTGAAAACAAGTTTCTCTAGTAAATTTTTGAATAGATAACACAAAAATAATTGCATTTTCTTCGAAAAGCACAAAATTCTTAATAAAAGGAAACATTTCACCTGTAATATTTTGATCTTTTATTTCTTCTTGAGTTATAATATTTTTTGATAAAAATTCTAATTTGCTGGTGAGAACAATTTCTTTAGTATCAGATATTTGTTTTGTTAGTAAGTTTATATTTTCATTTATTTCTGTTTTAATTATAAAAAATTTTAATTCTTCATTAACGAGTTAAAGGCAGAAAAATTAATTAAAAAATTTTTCTCCTCGAACTGGACTCGAACTAATGACCTATCACTTTCTAGGCGGACGCTCTACCAACTGAGCTACAGAGGCATAAAAAAATTGCCGACGAAATGTTCTCTACACTGCTTTATACTGTAATCCACATGATTACTAAGAATTTGTTTTCATTGACTGCTACATACAATGTACTATTGAAACACACAGTAATAAGAACATATATATTTATAGGACTGTGTCTATTACACTAATTATATTATGAATTTTACTAATACAACATCAAAGTTGTGAAATTAATTTACTTATTCTTCTTCTTCTTTCTTAGCATTACAGCCCTCTGTGAGCCAAAGCTTCCTCAGCTATTCTCTTCCATTCACTTCGATCTTGAGCCAACGTGCTATAATTTCTAATATTCATGGTACTTAGATCCGCTTCAACCATGTCCAGCCATCTACTTTTGGGTCTTCCTCTCGCTCTCGTCCCCTGCTCGCGATGCATGAAAATTCTTTTTAGTGTTGTTTCGCCTGACATACGAACCATGTGGCCCAGCCAACTTATTCGTTTGGATTTTATAAATCGAATAATGGTTCGATTTCGTATTAATGCTTCAAGTTCATGATTATATCTTGCTCTATAAATATTGCCATTCATTCTCACTGGTCCGTATAATCTTCTTAGTATTTTCCTTTCAAAAATTGATAGCATTTTGCAGTCTGCAACCTTTAGGTTCCATACTTCGCATCCGTAAGTAAGAATAGGTCTTATAAGTGTTTTATATATTTTGTATATATAGGTCTTATAAGTGTTTTATATAATTTACTTATTAATTACTATTATTAGTGATTATTACACTAATAATTTATCTTAGTAATCATGTGAAT